CCCCCCATGACCGCCAGCCCCGCGCCGATGCCCGGTAGCCCCGGCAGGCGCCCCTTGCCCCTCCCCCTGACTTGGCCCCCCGTAGCTGCGCCCCGCTGCCGTCGTCTTCCGAAGCGCCCAATTGCTGATTGGTACGGAATAGAAGTCCGTGGCCACGTGGCCCATCGCTCTCATCTCTGCCGCCGAGCGGAAGGCCGGGCGTCGAAGCCCGTTGATGCATCCTCTGACGCCGGGCTCCTCGTATAATCTTCACCTGCTTGGTGCTGCTGGCGGGGGGGGCAGCGGCGCCCCCCCCCGCGCCGCGGCTGCGGCCGCGGGCGGGCCTCCTGCCGCCCTGGCGCTGGCCGCGTCGATGGTCCACCGGTTCTTGCCTGCTCGCGCAACTGAAACTCCCCCAGAGATTGAGCCCGAAAGCCGCGGATGGCGCGGCCGAGGGAAGGCAGCCCCTGAACTGGGCGATTCCAAAAATTTCTGTTTTATCGCGTATCCCGCGACTCTCCGCGGCCCCCATGACGCGGTCGATCGAATTTTTTGTTGTTGCGAAAAAGCACAAGCATCATTGGTCACCAGTGGGCTGGGGATCAGTGGCAGACAGTTGCGCACCACTCACCTGTGCGCAGCAAGCGCAGCCGCCTCAGCGAATTGCTTCCCGCGCACCTGTCCCTCAGTACTCGTCTCCCAGTCGCACCAATAAGGAGCAAAGAGCATCTCCAACTGATACTTCCGGAAATCTAGCATCCCATGTCCGGCCTGCATGTCGAAGCATGCTGGGGCCCGCCCCTATCCACGCTTCCCAGTCCCTTGTACCCGTTTGGAACACTGAGATGTCTAAGTGCATCTGCGGGCACCAGCTTGCCACGCCCTCGCCGACCCCCGCCAGCGCTTGGAAGTCCTCGACCACCTGCTCTGCCCAAGGTGTGGACGCCGCCCATGCCCCCCATTTTCCGGTCTCATGACTCCGCAGAGGCCGCCAACTTCGACGCTCCAAACTTTGTCGCTACTACTCTGCCAAAGTCCTCCGGATGCTTCGCCCATTGCCGATGCCAACGCAGCCCGCGGATCCTCAGCGAAGTAGCACAACGCGGTATCCTCCACCTCTTCCTTCAACACTTCCTTGTTGGAGTAGCACTTGGTCGCGCCATCCTCTAAAGTCCAACACATACTGCCTCCAACGACTCTTCTCACAGCATTGCCATGGTGCTGTCGAGCGGTCCGAGGTGGCGCCCTTCTAGCACCAATGCCACCAGCCCAATTAGACCTGCCCCTGACACAAAAGCTTGAAACATCTCCTTTATTATTTTGTCGGGCGTATCTGAAGGCCAGAAGCAACCACGTTTTCTGCAAGCTACCTCATTGCCTCGCATATCCCCCTGATCTCTCCCGCATAGCCTTGCCCCCCTGGCAAGCGCGGGCCTGGCGCTCACATCTCTCCCACCGGCGTGCCCCTGAGCTATCTTCCTTTTGATGCTGTCGCGAGATCACGTCTCGCCCTGGGCGCCGAAGAGAAACCAGATGATTAGACTCGGCTGGGTTCAGGCCCATCCCCCCCTCGCCAGCTCGCGCCCCAGGCGCTCCGTGGCAGCGTTGATATGCCCCGCCATCCTGTCGCCTGAGACAGGGGCCCACCCTCCATCCCAGCTGGTGCTTCCCGACGAGCCGAGATATCCTCGCTTTCGCCGAACGCTGACTGGCGCTCCGAGACTTCCTCGCCAACTCCAGTCTGATCCTGCTCCTGGGAGGGCGGGCCCATCGAAACCACTGCGCGGATCTCGGCAGGGTCGCCCATAAACGCATTGAGCGAGAGACCGCGCCCCCGCCCCGCAAGCCCAACGCATCGCGCACTGCCAGAATCTCGCCATGGCCCACCGCGTAGATGGTAAATATCATTGGACTGATGCAGGCACAGGGTGAATCCCATCTGCGCCCCCTTCGCCGCCAGCGTCGTCGGCGCAGCCCACGCTCATCGACGCGTAGTTGATCGTCCCGATGACAAATGGCAAGCGCTCCTCCTCCGACGCACCGAAGACCGATGCCAGCAGGAGGTTGCGATTCGCGCTCGCAAAGGCATTGGTGCAACTGTAATTGCTGGCGATGGCGCTCACTCCTGCTTGTCTCGCTCTCCATCGCGCGGCCTCGACGCAGGCAGCCAAATTCTCCCTCGACCTATTCCGAAGCCCCCCATCGCGCCCAGCATGGGTGCTTCGGTGCTTTTCCCCTGCAATGCACCCCCTCGTGAAAAGCCATTCTCCTTGAGCAATGCGCGCGCATAACTCGTTCGCCTCCAATCCCCTCTTTGCACTTGCCTCTAACTGCAGAGAACGAAATCGATCTGCGCCAATCCAATGGTGCAGGTTGCGGTTGGCGACACTTAGTTAAACTGCACCCCGGGCTCTCGTCGGCCTCCATCCCTGTCGACCCTGATCGAGCTTCCCCGCGCCCCCCCCAGGCGGCGCGCCGCGTTCTCGTTCGCCCGCAGCGCATCTCCGTCATCAGCTCTTTCAGTCCTGCCCATCGCTTTGCCCACCCTCCACCCTGTCCACCCTGGACTTCCGTGGCGAGCTGGACTTTTCCAAATCCTGCTCGTCCTCGCGGAGCTCCGCTGCTCACATCCTCGGCCCCTCCAGCTCCTTGCCCAGCTGCTCGGGGTCCTTCAGGTTGACCGCGGGATCCAGCATTACCCATGTAAAGCCCACCGGTAGCCCCTAAGGGGGGAACGCCGTTCTCTTTGCCGCTTTCCTGCAATACTTCAGCATGTCTCTCTTGCCCATCTCCACCTGCGCTCTCAGGTCTCCATCCATTGGTAGCGACGTCTCCCCAGCAATCATCTCGCCGCGCCCTTCCTCTCACTCGCCTGTGCCCAGCGGCCCCGCTGCCAGGCCACCTCCGCGAGGGCGTTTTCCCAATTATCTTGGCCACTCCTCTGCGCCCCGCCATGTTCGCGCTGGAGCCCCCCCCCCGGGGAAAAAAGATTTTTTTTTTATAAAAAAAAAAAAAAAAAAAAAAAAAAAAAAAAAAAAAAAAAAAAAAAAAAAACGTTGGCCCTCCCCCTTTCTTCTGGCATCCACTGCGAAGTCCATGCATTTCGCTAAACTCGTTGTCCTCGCACGCCCTCCATATCTCCCCTGTCTGTTTCGTTTAATATCGCGGCTTCCAGGTCGGCCCTACGCATGAGAAGCACATTTTGCAGCTGCGCCAGCTCCTCCGAGATTTCCCCCTGTCTCTCCGTCGCGCATGATTCTACCATGCCCACCCTCAACTTCATCCTATCTGCCAGAAGGGAACGTCACAGTAACTGGAAGGCTGCCAGCCCCTGGCCCCCCTGCTTCTTCTTGACTGGGAAGCCTTCGCTCATCGCTTGTCTTCCTGCGTCGATCCATGTCTCCCGCGTTGGTCTGCTGTAGGACGGTCCTGAAGTTTCTCCATTCTTCCTCTGCAGTCCGTTCGCCCCCCAGGATCCGCGCTCCGAGATGCCCCAACAGACGTTTACGTGTCCCCCGGGGGCGCAGCAGATGCTGCCTGGATCGCACTCCAGGACGCCCCCGCTAGCGCCCCCCTGCTGGAGCGCAGTAAAGTTCAGGTAACAGTAAAAATTCCCAAGAATATTCTCTCAGTCGCCCTCGTCTCTGACACTATATCAGCATATCGCGGTCCACATAGTTGTCTGCCCGTTGCTGTATGCGCCTGCCCTCGAAATGAAATTGGCGTTCCAGTCCAATGTCGATGCCCAAAGAGATGCGGTGTATATGTCTTCTGCCTTTGATTTTCTGCCGTGTTGTTCCCACTCCTCTCAATGCCGCGCACCTTCGCACGCGTGGTAGAGCTCCTGTCGGCACTGTTATGTGTTCGATATTGCTGGTCCGCACCTTGTCGCCGTTCATGCAGTAGTAGGTTGGCCCACAGTCAAAGAAGGTCGTGACTACTGACACAAAGCTGTGGACAAAAAAATCGTGAATGCTTTTCCGTTGTCGTTCCCCACCTCGTTATCCAATAGTTTTGCATCTTTGCTCGAGCAGTGCCTAATTACCACAAGTTCACTCTTGTCCGACCTGTGCATTCCCAGTTGGCTGTTGATGCCCCTCTCCCCACTATGATAGTAGATCTGCCGCCCGTGTCGTCGTGATTCTCCTCCACCAATTTCATATATTTGTTTAAAACTATTCCACGTTTGTCTTGTAGCAGATACGTCGCAAATAATGTGACGTCGTACGCTCTTGTACGTAGTCCCACCCCTGCTGCTCTTCCTTGTACTTGAGCCAGTGGTGTGTATTGCGCGTGGAAGGTTTTGTCTGTCATCATCTCGTTGGACACCCAAAAGGTCGCACCGCATGCCTTAGTAATCAGTTTCCCCTTCTTTGTCCCAAGCTGCAGTGCCACATGGTACCTATGAGTTATTTTCTTCATCGTCTCTGGCCCTGCCCCCTGATGCGCCCCTGTCAACACAATCACATCATTGCCGGCGTGCACTGCTAATCTCTTGCAGTCTGTCCGGCAATACCAGTTTCATCAATGCACAGATCGAAAACAATGCAACCGCCATCCGTCTTCCATGCCCCCCCCGCTCCCTCTCTGGCCCGCGCAAATGTAGGGCGGTAGTCGTGTGAGAGAGTTTCAGGATAATCCTCTCTCCGTCGGGTCTCAAAGTGCTTGAGCCTCCAACGCCGACTGAAGAGGAGGAGGAGGAGGAGGAGGACTGGGGAGGCGCCACGGCGCACGTGCCGCTTCCGCCACCGCGTGCCCGCGCCGGCATCCGCGCCGGCTGCGCTTGAAACGCTCCCACCCAAGACATCTCGCGCTTCACAATGTTCGACGCGTAGACCCCACATGTCTGGACCACTTCCGTAGCAGGGACGGCGTGTCACCCCGAGTCGTTCCTCTACGGTCCTGGAGCCCGTGGAGGGCCCCTGGAGCGAGAAAACTGCCGGGGAAACCAGCCGTGCCAATCTTGCTCGGAGCCTCGGATCGCTGGGTCCTGTACCTCCCCCGTCCACCTCCGTCTGGTCCTGTCCATGGTCCCGTTCCCGAACAGCGCATCGATGATCCTGCCCGGCCCCCGGGCCATCGGCGTCGCGCGCCGAGGTCGCCGGGAGCCTCGCGAGGCCGCGAGCACCTGGGGGGGATGGGGTGACTCCATCTCCGCAGGGAATGGCGCCATCATCATCATCATCATCATCATCATCATCATCATCATCATCATCATCATCATCATCACCATCCTCATCCTCATCCTCATCCTCATCATCATCATCATCATCATCATCATCATCATCATGATCATCATCATCAGCATCATCATCACCATCACCATCACCATCACCATCACCATCACCATCATCATCACCATCAGCACCACAACCACCACCATCAGCAGCAGCAATAGCGTCAGCACCATCATCATCACCATCATCATCACCACCACCACCAACAGCAGCAGTCATATGTGTCAAAATAATCATCATCACAATCATCATCATCGACAACATCATCATCCTCAGCATCATCCTCATAGGCATAATCATCCTCCTAATCGGCAGCATTGTCATTATCCACATCATCCTCATCAACATCACAATCACCATCATCATCACCATTACCATCACCATCATCATCATCATCATCATCAAACTCAGCATCATCATCGTCAGCAGCATCAACATCATCATCATCATCATCATCATCAGCATCATCATCGTCGTCAGCAAAATCAGCATCATCATCGTCATCGTCGTCGTCGGCGACTCGTCTTCAGCAACAACATGATCATCACCACCAGCATAATCACCATCATCAGAATCACAACCATCATCCTCTCTCCTCTTCACCAACAGCATCCTCATAATCGTCTTCAAAGGCATACTTATAGCAACACACTACTAATCAGAATCATCATCATTACCACTTCACCATGGCCATCGCCATCACCATCATCATTATCATCATCAGCCTCATCATCCTTATCATCAGCATCAACATCATCGACATCATCGTCATCATCATTACCATCATCATCATCATCATCATCATCATGATCATCATCATCAGCATCATCATCATCAGCAGCATCATCATTATCATCAGAGCCAGCATCATCATCACGATCTTCACGTCCTCATCACGTTCACCACCACCGTCATCCTCAAAATCAGCATCGACATCTTCTTGAGAAGCATCGTCATCATCAGCATTAGTATCGTCATTGTCGTCATCACCCTTGGCATCACTTTCATGATCAACATCCTCATCATCACCACCTTGAGCATCATCATGATCATCACCATCATCATCCATAATCATCACCATCATGATCGTCGTGGTCGCCTTCGCCGTCGTCCTCGCCGTCGTCAACATCCTGAGCACCATCCTCGTCACCGTCACCTTCACCATCACACTCATATCCACAAGAACAGACACAATCAACACAACCACCAAAGTGACCAATGTGACCAAAACCGTCATGCTGCTGATGATGATGATGATGATGATGATGATGATCATCATCATCATCATCATCATCATCATCATCATCATCATCATCATCATTACAATCATCATCAGCATAGTCATCCTCATCAGCTCGTCATCATCATCTCATCATCATCGACAATACCATCATCATTACTACCGCCATCGACACCATCGTCATCATCATGATCGTCGTCATGATCAGCACCACCACCACGAAGACGGTCGCAATAAGCAATCTTCCCAATCACCATCACAACCACCAGCATCATCATAATCATGAAAGCGATCATCACCGTCAACATCATCATCATCTTCATCATCAGCACCACCACCATACCACCACCGTCACAATCGCAAATACCATCATAAACATCAACATCAACACCACCCGCATTATCGTCGTCGTCGCCTCCCGGGTAAAAGATATGGGAAGTAACAACGACATAAACAGAATTGGTCGGAAAGCCGCGCGGAGTCCTGGAATCGACACCGGGTCCCCTTGGCAAATCCTCAAGCGCCGACCCTGCCGCACTCCGCGCGCCAGGAAGGGGTTTCTGCGACGATCCCCAAAATCCGCGCGGACCTACGAATGCTGACGTGAACGTATGCAGTATGCAGATTGTTCTTCGTCAAGGATATTGTCGTCAGCATCAAGATAAGGAGATCTTGCCGCTGGCGGCTGGGTGATCTCTTGGCCACTGCGTGGAGCTATGCATGCAGGGGCAAACCTCCATGGGAGGGGGAGGAGGAGGAGAAGGTGCAAGGAGAGGATATTCTAATTTCGACGCGGAGGCGACGCGGTCGACATGCCGCTGAGGAGGAGGCGTGGGAGAAGGGAGAGGAGAGGGACAAGCTAGACACACTCGCGCCAAATATGACATCTGATCCCTCCATCCCATCCCTTCTGATTGCGCTGATTGTTTCTCCATCCGGTGACGCGTGTCATAGACCTGTTGGGAAGGGTGGGACTGTGGACTTGTGCGATACGTGAGCCTGTGGAAACTGTAGGACCTGTGGCCTGTGGGGCCTCTGGGACCTGTGGGACCTGCGGGACTTGTGAACCCTGTGCGACCTGGGGGACCTGTGTGGCCTGTGGGATCTGTAAGACCTGCGGCACGTGTGGTACCTGAGGGGCCAGTGGGAACTGCGGGACCTGTAAGACCCGCGAGACCCGTGGAACCTGTTGCACATGTGGGTCCTGTGGGACCTGGGGGGCATGGAGGGCCTCTGTGGGACCTGTGAAATCTGCGACACCTGTGGGAAGTGTGGGACCTGCGGGACCTGCCGGACCTGTCGGACCCGTGGGACCTCTAGAACCTGCGAGACCTGGATCCAGAGGAGTGGCCCATACTGGGGCTTCAGTGCAAGTATGAACGACGGGAGCAAAGCACCAGTCCGAAAATGAGGCCTACGCTGCAGCAAGAGCACCGTTTTGAAACAAAAACAGATTCAGATCATCAAATCCCTGTTTCAGCAAGAAGCAGTATACGGTATACGGAGACGGCGGGGCCACGCCCCAGACAACTTCAGGGGAGAGAGGTGAATTGTATCCACATTGAGAAAATGCGGTCAATGAGTGGGAGGGCCAGGAGGAGCATGACATCGAAAAGGGAGCTCCTCCTCCTCGTCATCCTCCTTCCGTCTCCTCCGGGGGGGGGGGGCGGGTGGCAGCGATGTAAGGGTATTGCGATCGGATGTGATGATCTTACCAGCATTGGCATGACCTCAACCAAATGGGCGACGAAACGAAGCCGGTCTCACGCGAGATGGCAGGCCGACATTTCGCCGCAGCTTACGCGAGCCGCCAGCGCGAGACGCTGCGCTGGAAATGAGGGCGCTCACGCGCGACCCTGCGCGTGCAGCCTACGCGCCAGTGTCGGCGCAGTGAGGACAGTCGGGGGCGGCCAACAGGGGGGTGTCCAAGAGGGGGGGGGGCGCAAATCATGGCCGGCGGCATGTGCGCGGCCCAGGGGGGGGGGGCCGAGGACGCATTGAAATAGGAAGGGACGCCATGAAATCTGGGGAGATATCATGGCCCCCGCCATGATATCCACCCCACCTAGTCATCACCCCCCTCTTTGCCGCCCCCGAGACAAGGGGCCCTGAACGCGAAGGCCTTCCCCCATGGACCAGCCCCTCGTGTCGAGTCGTCCTTTGACGCTCCCGGGGGACCGTTGAGGGCCCCGAGGCCCGAAGACGGCGGGAAAACCTGCACACAGCGATCGCCCCACGACACCCCTGCAGTATGGGGCGGCTGCTGCTTCTGCCGCCAGGACTGCGGACGCAGACGTCACACGTGGGCGGACAAATCGTGCCCCCTCCTCCCTTGACCGAGGAAACGAACATTCGAAATACTCTCCCTGGCCAGTTCCTGGCTCCTTCTTCTCCGTCTCCCTCCGCTCCTCGTCCCCTCCCTCCGCCTCCTCTCTCCTTTCCCTCTCGCTCCTCGTTTTCGGCCCGCCTTGCCTCACCTCGAGGCTGCGGATGTGGCTGGATGGGGGTATTGCTCGCGTGCCTTCTGGACACACGGCGTCTTCTTCTTCCCTGACCAGTTTCTACACTGACCCAATCGGCCCGCGCAACTGGACGCCCGAAGTGGATACGGACAGAAAGGAATATGACACCCAACAACTACTGTCCGAAACCGACAGCGGCCGCCGTTGGGCAGGTGGCCTTCTGTCTCAAAGGAACACCGCCCGCGGCGACGCCGACAGCGAAAAACCGGATTACAACTGACAGAAGCCCATGTTCGATTGTCGCAACACCGCCCGCAACCAGCCCCACACCATCCCCCAAGTTTTAAGTCGGGCCTCTCCCCATACAGGGGGATTGTGGCCGAAAAATTGAAAATACTCAAAAAGTACTCCAAACATGCCCAAAAATATTCAAGAAATCGTCCCCATACTATATTTTACTGTTTGGCAAGATTCCTCCTGTAGAGGGACAGGCCCGACTTAACCCTAGTCACGTCACGATTCGCGCAGGCGCTGTGGGAATTACCCGTCCCTGGGCATTCCCAGACGGCGCTGGCGCGCATCATGACGTGACCGGCCCCCTCTGCAATTCACAGCTCCTCGCCTGCCTTCCTGGAGCCTGCTTGCGACAGATGCCCCAAAAGCCGTGCGTGCGAGCTCCCATGTACAAATGGCCGCATATTCCGTCTGGGCTCACCAGGCGCCCCCTCTCTCTGTTTATCCGCGTTGCACGGCGTAGCGTGTTCCCAACTCCGTTTGCAGCCCGGCCATGCTTAATGGTCTCCCCGAGATCCCTCGTGGAGCCCCAAGCCCGAGAGGCTCATCACATACGTACCACACGTTTCCAGGACGTTTTTTTCGAAGACCGTTCTGGCTCAAGCCCGTGCAACGTCACACGGATGCTGGACTTTCAGGTGAGCGTCCGAGAAAAGCAGGACAGCGTGCTGCCCACTATCAAACGAGAACTGCCTTCCATCCCCTTCGTGCTGCCAGCGCGGCACATCCACTGCCCGATCGAACCTCCCAGACATCAGCATCGAGGGCCTCAGCGTGATCAGAAAAAACAGGAGAATAGCACAACACGGTTGCTATCAAGGCAGTGGTCAGAGCGGGACCCTTGCACTCTCCCTCCCCGATCACGCCCGCTTTGCCTAGCCGATAAAAAAGGGTATCCAGGAGCTGCTGCCGTCGGCTACGCGCAAGAGAGACTCTAGGTAAGAGTGAGCTTTGGTGCGCGACTTTCGGGGGGCGTTGGGACACCAAAACCCAAGCGCGCAAGACGCTGCTGTCGCATCGCGCTCAATCATCTGAGGACACTAACCCTGAAAGGTCTTTAGAACACCCGCCCCCAACACGGGGCAACTAATTATTTTTCGGCAGTCTTATACTTAAGGACTGGGGTCCAACTATTAGGCGGGAACTAGTTATTTGATTCCGCGGCACCCGACGCGCAACAACGACGACGAAAGGTAAGACTGCGATTGTGACTGCGACTACGACGACTTTTACTACTTATACCTCAAGAAAGGAGGAGGAGGGGGAGGAGGAGACGGAGGAGGAGGAGGAGAGGGAGGAAGAGGAGGAGGAGGAAGGGGAAGAGGAGGGGTCAGTTTCACGTCGAGTCTTATTCACCGCCGAGAGGAAGGGGGGGACCCACACAAAAGACCGCCCTCGGTTAGTGTGCCCGTACCAAGAAGTCACTCCGGCGAAGGTCACTCTTCCGCTTGGCGTTGGAAAGATCGGGTGTCACATCGACCTCCGAAAACCACGCTACCCCTGTGAGGCGATCACCCCGCGAAGGCCCCTTCTGCGCGAGCGATCCCCATGTCAGGGCTTCTTCGGCGCACGCTACCCCATGTGTTGTGCGTTTGGAGGGTGGCAAAAAAGTCATGTCGCACGCTGGACGCAGCGAGGCACAGGTGCGCCACTCCAAGCTGAGCTACACGAAGCGACATCCAATGCAAAACGCTGCCTCGATAAACTTATGTTCAATATACTGCGCCGAGTTCAATCCATTGACGGCACGCATGCCGTTACATAGCATGCTCTTGCAGCTACTTGCTGGCATCCGTGCAGCTGCTTTATGCTGCGTTCTGCTTCATGGGCGGTATCGGCTCCTCTTGCAACTTCAGGTAATCCATAATCGCCTGCGTAACACACATATCTGAAGTGTGGCTGAAACCGAGAATGGCCCTGGGCGTCAAGCCGCGTCCTTCCAGCAAGTTTGCATCAGCTTGGGCCCCCTCGCACAAGTATCGGACGACCTCGAGCTTGCCCCCGAGCGCTGCAATGTGAAACGGAGTTCCGCTACCTTGCGCGTTAGCAGAGTCTGGAGAGACCTCGGCACGCTCGCACAAGCATTGCGCGACCTCCAGCTGGCCCGCGCAAGCTGCAGAATGCAGCGGAGTCCCCCCATATTTTGTATTAGGCGCGTCTGTTGCGACCTTGCCCTGCCCGCACAGGCATCGCACGACCTCGAGCTGACCGAAATGAGCTGCAGCATGCAGCAGAGTCCCCCCGTCTTCTGTGCCGGGCGCGTCTGCGGCGACCGTGCCCTGCTCGCACAGATATCGCACAATCCCAAGATAGCCGCTGAGAGCTGCAATATACAGCGGAGTTCCGCCATCGTGAACGGTAAATATATCTGCAGCGACCTCGGCACACTCGCACAAGTATCGCGCGACCTCGAGCTGGCCCGCGCGAGCTGCAGTACGCAGCGGAGTCCAGCCATTTTTCGAGCGAGGCGCGTGTGCAGCGACCCTGGCATGCTCGCACATGCGCAGCACAACCTCGAGCTGGCCCGCGCGCGCTGCAGCGTGCAGTCGGGTCCAACCATCAGGCGCGCCCGCGGCGATCTTGGCCTGGCGGCGTCCGTCAGCTGCACCGCGCCGCGGGGCAGGCCCAGTTGATGCGCTGAGAATGTCTGCGGACGCCTCTGCCTGCTCGCACATTTATCGCACGACCTCGAGGTGGCCCGAATGAGCTGCAGCATGCCGCGGAGCCCCCCGTCTCTTGTGTTGGGCGCGTCCGTAGCGACCTCGGCCTGCTCGCACAGGCATCGCAATCCCGAGCCAGCTTCCCAACGCTGCAGCATGCAGCGGTGCCCAGCCATCTTTTGTGGTAGGTATGTCTGCAGCAACTTGTTTCATACTTGATTTTACAACTCAACCCTGATCCCCAGGAGTGCCCCTGAATGTTTGTTGGGATGCGCCTTGCGTCGGCCAGTCGCTGCTTCGCTGTGAAACATCACCCAAAAGGGGACCGATGGTCCAGCGGTCTCCCGGGCACACGTGGCGAAAGCTGTCGCGGGGAGGCTCAGCGGGCCCGCGCCCAGAAGCAGGAGCAACATCCATCACCGCACTAGGTAGAGGAGGGGGGAAGAGAAAAACGCTGCAGCCCGACGACGCCGGGCGCACGCTAGAAACTTATGTCTCCGAGAGGCGACGCGGAGACAAGCTTCGAAGTGCTGCTCGGGACTGCCCACGGCGCCAAGACGGCGGCAGTTGCGAAGCGAAACAAAAGCACCAACACAAGCAGAGAACATAACATTAGACGACAGCGGCGACGGCGAGAGCAGCCGGAAGGGAAGGAAGAGCCAGGGAGAACCTTCAGGATACCAAAACGACGAAATAAATAAGTGGCCGGGCCTGCACTTGAATAGAGAGGCGAGACGAGGACAACAGGAGTAGCATTCAAGTGGCTCAAGATACTCACCACCACCAACCGGACATCCCATGACACAGCCTGCGGAGCGGGACCTACATCTCCTGGACGCACGCAGACCTCGGCATAAGAAACGCAAGGCCCCCACAATGAAGTACGTTTGTGTTGTCGAGATGACGGCAAACGAATTCAAAAAGAAACGGCCCATACACTCAGGAGTCACGCTTGGGCACCATGCAGCAACGCGACGGAATGGAATCTGGCGCGGGTCTTCACGACTCCGACAGCGCGAAAGCAACCACTCATAAAGACGCGCCTGCAGCTTGTCCGCCTCAACGCTGGGCAAGGAAGGGATGCTGTGGAACCAGCAGTACAAGGAGCGCATATAAAACAGAAAACTCAACTTCCACCACCCATACCGTCCATGATACACGACATGATCATCATCCTGCTCTAGCCCCCGAGAATGCTCAAACACCGCCCCCAGCAGATCATGCTTACTCATGTATCGTTAGCACGAGAGAGGGATACGAGATCTTGACACTCGATGGGGAGGCGATGTTGGCCAACTTGGGCACAGAGGGCGCAACTGAATGCAGTGCGCGGCCCTGCCGCGAGGAACATTACAGACTCACGGTAGCAGCCCATCAACGTTTTCGACACGGGGTGCACGTGGAGAACGAAGCTGAGGACCGAAACACACATTACACGAACGCAACCGTAGATCTCGCAGGCCCAAGCCCTAGGCGACGAGTAGCACCCACACGATCACCAAACTTCACGAGCGCCTCACTCCACGCATTCTGGTGAGCAAGAGAGCGACTAGTGGTGCCAAGGTATGTGACATTCTTGACTACCTGTAGGCGCTTAAGGTCTTCCTTGAGCGCAGCGACCGATGCGCCAACGAAATCGAGGTCGAGCTCACCAGCGAGCAGGACCTGGCATTCCTTGTAGCTCAGACTGAGGCCAGCGACTTTCTCAAGCAAACACAGTTTATGCAGAATGGGCCCCAAGGACGAGAACACGCCCACCATGCCGAAACGAAAAACCGCCCGTGCAGGCCAGAGTCCGATCAATATGCCGCGACAGGGGCGTCTGGACCCAACGAAGAAGTGGGTCGGCAGCCAGAACCAAACAACAGCATACTGGAAGGGCCGCCCTGCTCCACCTCACTCCTCACCTGGACGGCCCCACGCCTCCTTCCGCCCAGAATGGTCGCGGCAGGCTGCCCTTGATACACTGAATTGAAAAAAAGAAATGGAGCGCAGAGCAGATACCCATGGCACGCAAGACGCGCAGCAGCCAGAGATGTCCTGGGAGGGGAAAGCCGCGTTGAAAACCTGCGAGCAACAGGCCTGAGTTCTCATTTGCACGGGCGCGTTGATCGAGGGCCCACGCTTCAGCATCGACGACGTTCGCGAGCACGTCACGACCCCTCACACACGCTTGAGCTGCGTCAACAGAACGCGAGGAATTAACAGCGCGAAGAATCGACATCACACCAGCCAACATTTTGATGTCCGCGGCACTCATGCTCAACGGCCGGGTGTCTTTAGGACTGCGACTAACCGAAAACCCAATCCGGACCGCCCGATCCTATGGGGAGGAAGACCATCAAGCTGCGACACATCGACGGAGGCAAGCTTGGACACTACCGTTAAAGGAACACAGGTAGACGTCATTTTGCGCGCGCAGCAGCGGGCGCCTTCCGCGCGCTATAAGGAATACCGCCAGGCCCAGGCATGCCATGGCAGCAAGCACAGACATCTTCGCAACGTTGAAGGTGCAAAGGTTGCCAGTCCATCGGAAGGACCTCAGGGAGCTTCTGGATATGGCTGGACACTTCAGGCCATAGAGAAAGGCCAAGTTCTTTGGGGGCAAAAACACGGGACCAAGGAGCCTGCAGAACCTCCGCGGAGCGCTCCGGCGACTCGCAGGGCGACCCCGTCTCATCGTAAATACAGGAAGTGCACGAGAGGCTCCGAAAGCGCCTCCAAAGTGCTCGATGACGCTGCACACGAGCAAACAGTAATTGCATCGTGGGTTCGGGGGCAGAATAGCGCTCGATCTCCATCGCTTCCTGCCCCAAAAGCTGAGACTGGATAGATCGAACCATTGAGCGGGAGGCCATTCAGGTTCGTGTAAGCACACGAGGAGCCACGAGAGTGGACACGCAGTGCAGGGTGCGACTTAAGAGCAGCAACCACCACCCACCCCTTCCCCACCCTCACCCCACGCAGAGCACACATAGCCCAATGGTGCTTAAGCTCAAGAGAACCGGCCCGTAGCAACTTCAAAATAGAACGAACACGTTGCGCGGAGACAAACATGAGCGCCTTGACCGCCTCGAGACGGCGCCGCTCGGAAATGATCGGCGCGCTCGCATCGAACTCAATAGTGAAAGACTCGCGATGGGCAGCGAACGCACGATGGCAGGCAACACGATGGAAGGGGAGAACGGCAAGAAGATGGCAAAGACGGGAATGTCGTCGCTCGGAGCTCGGGCCTCGAGTCGGCCAACCACGCCACCTCGGATATCATAACCCCTCACAAAAACCAGCGGCAGAGTAGACCGAATACGGCCCAGCCTCGACGCGCACTTAATAACCACGCCCCCGACCTCCCTCCGAGCGTCCTTTTCTGGCTAAATATCGGTAACATTGGGAAAACCTTGCGAAATAATCTGGGGCGCGCCCGACCCCCAGGAAGACAGCTGCCGCCACCTTGCACCCCCCCCCACAATCGCGAAGGCGAAATCCACCAGCAGCAAACAGTGGGAGCCTCACGATGCCTCCACAGCGGCGCGCACTGACTTCAGAGCGACTGCGTAGGTCGCGATGGCGCCACTCGCGCTCGGCAAGTGAGGATTGAAAACCGCCAGGTTACCCGAGGGGCCAACGCAGGTAGTCTGCAGGAACAGGCCGGCAAGAGTCTCTCGATGAACGACGCAAGGCAATCTCAATAATACGCGTACCCAGGACAGTGACCACACCTCCTTCTCTCCGGGAGTCCTCAAATACCGAGAAGCCGATGTTGTGCCCGGGACGGGGCCCATCCAGCTCCCTGGAGAGCTCTCCGATATCACCGCAATGACCGCGCGTGTCCTGACCGCAAACGATCTGGAACTCATGCTAAGGAGAAAGGAAGGACTGGCACCTAGCACGCGAGCTCCAGGAAGAGTTGCGAACGCTGCTGAAGAGACTATGGGCGCTCCAACTGCAGACAGAGAAGGGCGCACACGGGGAGAAGGAAAGAACATTAGGGGGAAAACCTATCGTCGCCAATGTCGCCAATTTCATACGCGGGGGGGAAAGAAGGGTAGGTGGAATTAAAATCAAGCAACAGACTGTACGACTCAGCTGCGAAAGGGCGACTTCATCTTAACCGCGGCCGTCTCGCGGAAAGGACCAGCGTGTTGATGGATACCGAACTCCAGTAGCGCGTCGAGCTCAAGGCCGAGGTCGACTCGAGAGGCATCTTCGCTCAGCCGCAGGTTCGCCAGAAGGACCGACTCATCTGGCCCCCTCAGAACACAGACGCAGCCGCCGAGCACGTTGCCGCTGACCGCGTATCCTCGCGGCTGCAGAAACTGCGAAATGGAAGAGCGAAGGCGGCCCATGCTTAAAAAGAGAAGGCGGCCCTTGGAATCCACATCTCTGTGGACACGAAGTTTGACTGGTTCAGCCGCAAAAAGAGTCAGGGTGAATGAACTCTCCATCAGCCTCATACTGCGTCAGGAAGTTGCTGGCTTCGGACGCGGACTCAAAGTGCAATAGAACTGTACGCACGAGGTCGAAAGCCTGGATCGTGATGCTGTTCTGCATACTGGCGGGAGCGTACTTCGACCGAATGGCCCCCCAAGCACTCCGTAGCGTACTCGCCAACATGCGACGCGGGAAACCGAGAATACTGACTTTGGTAGTATTGTCCTGGCCACGTTCAGCGCGAGCAGCATGGGTATGAAGGGGACCATGCGGAGCACTGGGCGCAGAAGTGATATGTGCGAGCTTCGATTCAGTGTCGAAGATCTTCTGCTGCACACTCGAGGTAATAGGTGATCCAGATTCAGACCTCGAGCAAGGTGTGGGAGGGTACTCTCTAGCGAACATAAACGGGACTGCATGAGCTCGACCGAATTATTCAGAGATGCTGCGGCGTGTTCTCCCTCCAACTGCGTGACCCTAGAACGACTGTCGCTTCCCATGGTCTGCGTGGTCGTCGTGAGCTGGTCATCACAGCGCAATTGAGTGTTAAGTCCATTTGCGCCTTGATCTTAGCGACATCACTGGCGGAAGCAGCAACCTGCGAAGAGAGGCCCTGGAGCGAGCAGGGAACGAGGTCAATCTTATCCGTTGGGGCCGTCTTCGGTGTCGAGTGCTTGGAACAGTTACAACTTGAGCGACTCTTCGATCTGTCTGCTGATGAAGGACTAATGTCGTCACGCTGGTGGATGCCTGTCCGCTGCCTCCTCCCATCGCGCGAAGGCATCGGGCTGCAGTGGCGAAAGGTGTTGGACGGAGAGAAGGGCAGTGAAAGATGTGAAGTTCCTGCTCCAGGAGGGGCCCTCGAGCCTCCCCGTCGGCAGCAGCAAGGTTCAAACCCCAGGGAACAGGTTTGAGCCTTGAGCCAAAATGGCTACGGAGGTATATCTGCAGCAACCTTGGCCTGCTCGCACCAGTATCGCACGACCTCGAGCTGGCCCGTGTGAGCTGCAGCGTGCAACGGGGTCCAGCCATCAAGCGTTTCTGCGGCGACCTTGGTCTGCCGGCATGCGTGAGCTGCACCCTGTTGCAGCGCCCCTCCATCTATTGTATCAACAACGGCTGCAGCGACTGTATTTTGCTCGCGCTGACATCATACGACTTCGCGCTGCCCAGTGTGAGCTGCAGCATGCAGCGGAGTCCCTCGATGTTTTGCAGTGGGCGTGTCTGCGGCGACCTTGGCTTGCTCCCACAAATATCGCACGACCTCGAGCTGACCGTTGTGAGCTGCAACGCGCAGCGGGGTGAAGCCATGTTTTGTGTCGGGCGTGTCTACAGCGGCGGCGACCTGCTCGCAAAGGTGCCGCACAACCTGAAGCTGGCCGTCGCCAGCTGCAGCGTGCAGCGGGGGCCAACAATGTTTGCGACTCGGCGCGCCGCCAACGACCCTGGCCTGCTCGAGCAGGTGGCGCACGACCTCGAGCTGGCCCTCTTGAGCTGCAGAGCACAGCGGAGTCGAATCAGTGTGCATTTGTTTTCCCATTGGAAGGAACTGCAGACAACCTTAGGCGGCGCGCCTCGCCGCCGAAATCACGGCCTCATAAGTCCTTCAGTGCACGATCGCGTGCGGCACGAATTCGGATGCCACCGCTCTTGGGCGGCTGCTATGTTAGACAGGCGCAACGCGCACGCTGATCTGTGGGCCCCGGGCAGACTGTGGCGACGACTCCGTCGTGCCGAACGGGAGGGGGAACAGGGGAGGGAGGGGAGGCGAGGAGGAGGAGCTTTCCTGCAAGTGGGGAACAGAGGTGCTTTTCTGCAAGTGTGTTTACATTTTCCGCCGCTCCACCCAGGAAGGTGTGCGTCTCCTCCCCTGAGACGGCGGGCGCCACAGCCTCCGCCCGCGGCGGCGCCGGCGACGCACCGCCTGCCGCAGTGCACCGAGAGCCCTCGCGCTCGAGGCGGAAGAGTTGAGCCTTCAGCTCCGCGACCTCACGCCAATGCTCCTCCGCGACCCGCTCCAGGGCTCCCCGGTGCTCCACCAGGTGGTCGTCCAGAAGCTGCTCGAGCGCACCGTGCTCGAGCAGCTCCCACGTTGTGCCGTCGCACGGACTCGACATGTGCGGCCGATGAGGCTTTCTAACACCTAGCGCCAGCACCTCTGGGACTGCCGCAGCCCTGGGCTCCATCAGAAGAGGCGAGACAACCCACGACGCGTGCGCAGGAGCACCTTCGTGTCGCTACCAAGGTGGGCCGAACGGTCTGTGCCATGACGGCCTGAGCAAGAGGTTGAGCGCTGTGCTTGAGCCAGAACGGCTTGAACCAACTTGCACGCCACACTGCACGCCTTCTTTCCAACCCGCCTGTACGTAGATAATATGTGAAGTCAAGGGGGGATCCGGGCAAACCCGTTCAACATCTGTCCCCAGACTCCCCCTCCTGAGGTCCCTCTGGTTTTATGTTTGACCCTTGATCCGTACTTCCCTACCCCAAGTCCCGAAAACCCCCAGAGACAGACAAGACGAAAAAAGTACGGTACGAACCCAGAACGTCGAACATCGCCCCCCCCTCCCTGCTCGCAGAAACTGATGCTGGGCCACCTCGTCAGACCCCCAGCCGGCTCCAACTCCACCCCCCGCTCGGGGAGGCATCGAGACCTGTCGACCGGGTGTCGGCGGCGCGCCCAGGGGGGAGGCCTCCTCCTCCTCCTCCTCCTCCTCCTCCTCCTCCTCCTCCTCCTCCTCCTCCTCCTCCTCCTCCTCCTCCTCCCTGAGGGGGCGGGGCTTCTCGCCGAAGGTTTGGCCCCCCCGGTTGTGGTGGTGCTGCGCTGGCCTATATGGGGGGCACGGTCCCTGGACCTGCGCCCCTTCTGCTGTGCCAACTCCTGGGAGCCTCCCGCACAGCAAAGACCCGCACACAAGAAACCTTCCGCAAGAAACCCTACCCTGAGACACCAGGAAGTCTATCGATTTTTGGTGTGGGATCGTCGCGCTCTCCGCAGCAAAACCATCGAAACCCAAGAAACCCAGAATGTCGTTTTTTCCTTCGGCGTTTCGACATGGGGCGGAAAGGGAGGGGGAGGGGGGGGGGTCTGGCTCCGGACCTCTGCTTCATGCGTCTGTTTGCAACGGTGCGCCCCATGGGGGAGACTCCACCTGCCTGAAACAGGCGCCAAAAACAGCCAAGATCTACTCCATTTGGGGGGAGGGGGGGGGTGCGAGGGCCCGCGCAGATCGGCAAAAAAGTGAATAAGAAAACGATCACCAGGGCACTCTGGGGACAAGCAAGATGTTTCTTGGCATGGGCCTCCACTGAACCCTCTTGTTGGCGATCCGTGCCCCATCCGAGCGCAGGCCATGGCCGCGGCCGCGCGCGGCGGCAGGCAGGCGCGGGTGCGCCAGGACCGCTGCGCCGACGGCGCCGGCCGCGCCGCCTCGCGGGCGGGGGCCGAGGCTTATGTTGCTCCCATTGTACTTAAGGACCAATGCCGAGAAGTAATTTCGGGCACCCATGGAAAAAGATCGAAACAATGTCGAACGAGTATTGCATTTCATAAGCCGACCGTGAAAACCCTCCAGTTTCGGTACTTTCTTGGTGCTCGAAATTCTGTCTGGTGATTCAGGCTAAAAGTAGGTTGGAAAATCATAAGCCGAGGCAGGGATGTCGGGCGTGGCCAGAGGGCTTAGAACCCCACAAAGGCCCTATGGGCGCGAGTGGTTCAGAACATCGTTTAAGCGACCCCTATCCCCATGGTCGTGGCCTGGGCCCCACTGGCCGACATACCCCCCCGAGATGGGGATATAGGCCGTTTCCTTCGGGTCTCGAGGAGTATATCCCCCACTGGGGTGCTGAGATAGAAGGGGTCTGGATGGGGATGGGGATGGAGACATGCGTCGGTTAAACGATACTGAGTTTGGAGCGCTCCTTCTTCCATCTTCCCTCTTCCCCTCTTCCCCTTCGGGGAGGGGCTTACCCCTCCCCCTAGCCCCCCCCCATCTGGACACCGTGTCTGGATGTGCTGGTGGGGCTACGAGAAGCGCCTGGAGTTAGCAGCGCTGCCAGGTCGTGCAGCGCCAAATGGGGGATCTTCCCGAGCCCTCAAATCTGGGCGTTGCACTGCTGTCACACCGAGCCTTGTCACCCGGTTTCGGGCCCCGGGGCCCGGAAGATGGCGCAGGATGGTAGTTAGGGCCCAGGGCGACGAGGTCGGAATCTCAGGCGTGGCCAACGATCCCAGCAAAGCACCCTAATAGCAGCAACGTTGTTTTTTCGACTGGAGCAACCACCAGGACTCACGCCTCGGCAATGGGCACGGTGCGAACTGGACGGCCGCCAGGCAAAGCCGGAACGCCACGCAAACCGAAACACCATGGGCAAACTCGTGCAGAGAACCTTGGCTTAGGTCGAGCATGTCCACCTACAGGGTGATGTTGAACGAAAAATATGAAATACTCCAAAATGCACCAGAAATGACCCCGGACTATGTGTCTTCACTATTTCTTAATATTCCCCCTGTCGAGGGATAGGCCCGACTTGAACCTTGGACTGGGAGAGGCAAGCAGAACGCAAACAGAGTAACAGCAAACGTGAAGGGGCCGGTCGACGGGCAAAAGGTCGGCTGCAGGGAACAGGGGTGAACGGACGGCCATGTGCACCTTAGTGGATCCTGTGCAAGGGATCGTGGCCGCCTGTACCACAGCTGTCGCTAGCACAGTTTGCGAAGGCATGATGAGGAAATGTCAAGCGCAAGGGCTGCCGGAGCGGCTGCCGGACCGAGCGGTCTAGGGCTCCCCTTCCCCCATGTTGGGGTCTTCTCTGGTCCTTTGAATCCCTGTTGTTGAAACCCTCTTGGAAAGCGCTTGGAGACATCTGTTCATCCGCAAAAAACTCAGCGCATCGGACCATTCCGCCGCTTGAAACGAGAGACATCACGACGGCCGCCGAGCAGGCGAAATCGCCAGATTGGTGTGCGAGGCGCCTGGGATACACGGGGGACCTCAAGACTGAAGGACAAGAGGATGGAGGAGAGCAGGAAACAAGACCGAGGCAAGGATGACTGACAATGTCGCTATGTGCGCATCCACACGTGATCCAACTGACCACTCGTAGAATTTAGTGTCATACAGCGTCAAGCGGAAAGGCAATACACATAACAAAACGCAAGCTGCAACCAGTACAACGACGCGGCTGACCTGGTAAAAACCACGCTCGGAACTCTACCGCGCGGGAGGCGGAAGCAACAAGGGAAGCGAGGAGACGAGGCGGGACGAATCCACGACAGCAGTGGGCAATCCTGGTAAACTGCCTGGCGAGATATGCGGAAATCGGCGTAAACACTCACCGATATCGTATAAATACGTCGTTCAACGGGTGAGGCACGGAAGTGCCCCGCAGCATCGGAAAGCCGAGCCCATGCGGGAAGAGGGCGAGCCCCTGGCGTCGACAGTGGCCCGTAGGATCGGCCAACCGCGGCCGCGAGCTAAACCCGCACGCGCTGCCCGTGCACACAGTTACAAGTAAAGGCGGGGAACGAGGACGGAGGAGCGGAGGCAAGCAAGGACAGCACAAGGAACACATCCACATCCGACTCGACTGAAGGCTGGCAGACGGAAGGGTGGCGCCGTGCATCTTGGAAGCCTAAAGAGGAGGCCTGGAGTCCGCCGCCACAGACCACGGAAGCTCGCGCACACTCCGAGCCCCAGAAACGGGTCTGCGGCACGCTGCCTCCGCAACACCACCGAGGCAGCACGCTGCGGCCTCATGAGAGAAGCACGCGATCAGCAAACCGCTCGTCCAAGGCCGCGGAGGGTAAAACAGGGCAAGGATCGGGATAAATCGCTCCAGAGCGTTCCGGAGCGCTCTCAGAGCGTTCCGGAACGCTCTGGAGCGGCCGCGGCGCCCAATACATCCTCCAGACCCGCCGATTCTCAGAGATTTCGAGTTATCCCGATCCGATGTTGTCCCGATCTTCGCGTCGTTTTAGGGGGGGGCGACGCGGAGGGAGGAGGAGAATGGAGGAGGAAAGCACCGTGCACCTCAAAAGGGGAGAGGCCTGGAGGCCGCCGCACGCTGCTCGGCAGCACGCCGCGACGTAGCACGCACGGGCCCCACGAGCGAAACACGATCTTCGAGCCGCGCTCCTCGTCCAAGGGGGAGGATTAAAACGACGCAAAGATCGGGACAAAATCGGATCGGGATAACTCGAAATCTCTGAGAATCGGCGGGTTTGGAGGATGTATTGGGCGCCGCGGCCGCTCCAGAGCGTTCCGGAACGCTCTGAGAGCGCTCCGGAACGCTCTGGAGCGATTTATCCCGATCCTAGCCCTGTTTTAGAGGAGGACGAGAAGAGAGGCAGGACGCGAGCGACCGCGTCATCGCACCGAGCTCTCCGGCCCCGAAGCGCCCCGCTGGCCTGAGCCCACAAGGCGGCACCTCGCTCAGGAGAAGGAGGCAGAGAGGGGAAACCGCCACCGAATTTTCAAACCTCAAAGCGCCCTGCCGGCCGCATCTCACAACACGGCACTGCGATACGGAGAAGGAGGAGGAGGAGAAGGAGGAGGAGGAGAAGGAAGCGGACGGATACAGGGAGCACGGGAAAAGAAGCCCGACCGCGGCTGCCAACATCGCGGCCTCCGGGCAAACATCTTCGGGCAGGCAGAAGACTGCCCGCGGAGGCAACTCACAAATCATGGGCCTGTTCTCGACCACCATCACCACCATAACTTGGAGCGGAAGGGGGTCCTCCTCCTCCTCCTCCTCCTCCGCCTCCTCCTCCTCCCCCTGCTCTTCGTCCTCCTCCTCCTCGCCCTCCTCCTCCTTCCCCCCGTCCAACTCATGGTGGTGGTGGTGGAAAACAGGCCCATCAACAAATGAAGTCCCCGGTGCACGTGCGGACCTGGCGCGGCCACGCACCGATTCGCGCACCGATGGCCTCCAGGCTTCGCAGGCCGCCTGCCGCCCCTGGTGGCAAGCAACGCGCTGTCATGTGACGCACGAGGCACTGCATCCTCAGTAGACCGCGGCTGGACGCGGCGCCTCCAGCACGAGGAGCAACTCCGCAGTCTCGACGGCACGCGGCGGCACAGCCAGGATGAGGAAATGACAGGACTCTTTCCACCAC